GTGCATTTTTTTTTTTTTTTTTTGCGTTATGATATGGCTACAAGCCTTTGGAGTCCAGGGAGCTGAATGTGATGGTTTGAAAGAAAATTTCCCCAAAACTGAGTGGCACTATGTGGAGGTCTGGCATTGTTGGAGTAGGTATGGCCTTGCTGGAGGAAGTGTGTCACTGTGGAGGCAGGCAATTTGAGATCTCATATATGCTGAAGCCAGGGCCAGTGTCTCAGGCCAGATCCTGTTGCCTGCTGATCAAGATGTAGGACTCTCAGCTCTAGTGACAATAATTAAACCTATGAAACTGTAAACCACCCAAATTAAATGTTTTCCTTGATAATTGTGTCTCTTCACAGCAATAGAAACATCATCAGCTCACTATGACTTTGATTGCACTGCAAAGGCTTGGTTGGACATGATCAAGCCAGATAGGCTTTCATTGCTTATAGGAGGAATGGGTCATGGGCTCTCACCCCTGATAAAGATGCTATCTGCAGTTGGTACCAACTTACAAAGGAAAAATAGTGTGCTCAAATGGAGTTACACTGGGTGTATTAACCACTCATATGGTAGTCCCTATGCCTAGGAGTAGTTGACCAATATAAAATGAATTCAAGAATATCTTTGTAGACATTTTTTCCCTCTTGCTATGTTTGGGATTTTTGTTTTTAAATTGGTCTTTTGCTTGTACATTTTAGTTTCTGTTCTGAACATGGGGGCATTGTGTGTGTGTTTCTTGCATTTTGTTATTGTTGTTTCCTGGTTTATTTGTTTGTATTTTTAAGAGAGAAAGAATTAAAGGGCCTTGAATTAGGGAGATGGGGCTGAAGTATAATGAACTGGGGGAGAATAAAAGGAGTGATGAGACTATATTGTATGAAAATTTTTAAATAGGATATCACTAACATATTGGTATTAAATAAATATCTTAAATTCAAAATGAATGCAAAAAGATCTAAAATGAAATAGTGGATTTTGGATCCCCTCTGCGTGACTATTTTAAACAGTAAATTTTATACCAGATAATGACTTATTAGATATACTCTGAACATGACTCTACTAAAATCTGAAGGAAAGAATGGACTATGAGATTTTAATTCTCTGAAACTGCATTTAAAGATGTGATTTTATACATACATTTCTATAATGTTCTAAGGATTTTGTAGTGACTAAGATACAATGAAACAGCCTTTCGTTTTTGTTATTGTTCTTCATAAATTACAACTTATAAATGATATAAAGCATCCCATGGTATAGATAAGAAATAAGTATGACATTTTTAATGTAAAGACAGAAATATAATTAAGAATGAATTAAATATTATGAACAAATCTCAACCATTTCTGCACAATATATTTAAGAATTAGAGGTTTATCAATTATAAGCTCTATTCTGAACAAAACAAGGATTATGGAACTGCATAGTTAAATAGTCAAATGTTTATCCAAAAATGATCTTCTTGAATCTCTTTTAAATAGAAAACAGTCATACTTAAATTGTTATTCTTCTCATTTTACAAGCTGAATTTGTTTTGTGAATCTATAATATGGGGTATTATCATATCAAAAAAACACCATGGAATATTACTCAAGGGTTAGAGTTAAATTAGATGCTTAACTGGTTGTTTTATATAGTTTACACAAAATATTTATTGGTATTGCATATAAATAGGCTCCATAAAGACTCATTGGTCTTAGGCAGCTAAAGTTATATTATCTGGTAATATTCATTTTATTTTATAGTAGTTGACAACTATGATCATGATTTCACAGAGGAAGGACACCTGTCAATCAGGCCAATATTCTCAGTTGTCTACATTCACATTAACCTTGGGGTCTGCATGAACTCATGGCTACTCTGCAAGCTGGAAGTTCAGTTCTGCTCCACATGTTTTATAGATATGAAGGGGATATTTACCTGCTCAAAGAACTGTCTGTCTCTCACATGGCAACTTTAATTTAGACCTATTTGAACTTTGAGTAGTTTGCTGTAAGCAGTCTAAGTTAATCTACTAGGTGTACACACAAGCGTTAGAGAAAGGGGTTTGAAGAGGTAAAAATCCACATCCTGGTGTCTTGCTCATCCGATACAGCAAAGGTTATGCTCACTCAGGCAGCTTAACAGAGACTAACATAAGCAGTTGGCTTCCGGTGAAGTTTGCACAAGCAGACAGTTTAACAGAAGCTAAGTTAGTTGGGGCATCTTGATGTCAGTTTCCTAGAACACAGTAGAGCAATTTTCTAAAGAATTCTCCATCAAGGAGATCAAACTACAGTTAAACCTGAAATGGCCTCAGCAAGAATACATGATGCTGGGACCCCTGCACTAGTTTGCCCCCTCACACTATAACTACAATATTCTAGTAAAATGTGTTCCTTCCTCAAAGAAGAGAATTATTAAGAGATAATTCTGCCTTAGTTGAAATGCAATTTTTTTTTGGTCACCACTGTTATCTGTCAGTATAAATTAAGCTCTATTCAAATTTAAAAATGATTTTAAAATCTACCAAAAATGAAGGCTAAAAGGTTTGTGTAATTAAAACGAGTAAAAATATCGCATAAATTCTCTCTAGAATTTCTGCAGTTCATGGAGATAATGGAGACCATTTCAGAGCCCTTTTTCCTCACTCTGGAGAATGCCAAATGGCTTCAGTGACTTGAGGATTATTTTCTCATTTTTGCTTCAAGACTTTTCTGTTTCCAATTATTTCTCAACATGAAACTCAAGAGACATATCAAAGCCACAAATAATCATAGACTTATTAGTCAAATTACAATCAAATAAATATAGAAGTAAATCAGTGCTATTATGAAGAATTAGGCATATTTTTAAAATAGTTTTCAAGAGGATTGTGCATGTTTTGTTTGCTAGGAATAAAAGAAATTTCATGATTTGTCTTGGGCTTTCTGTGGTAAACCCTTTTCTGAACTCCATTCTTTGTGAGCTGGGCTAAGTGGATTTATTCTATGGTAAATAGTTGAACACAAGGAGAGTCCTGAAATGAAAGGCTTTTACAAGGTACTACCTCCATCTACCTTTTGTTCTGGGCTGGAAGGCTATTGAATGCACGCACTGAAGTACTTTGTTTACAACCTACTTGAGATAGAGTAGTCTAATGATTTGTTTTCGAAATCTGTGCTTATAGAGAGAGGCGGACTGGATTCTTTGGCTATTCTTGGATGAAAGCAATACTGTACCAGGGAAAGCAGAAGAATCGCAATGCATAAATATTGTAAAGTGAACACCAAGAAATTGTGTTGTTATCTTTATTTCAATGCATAAAATGTTTAGTTTTAGAAAGAGAATCATAGATCACACTCAAATACATTTTAAAATATAAAACCCATCGTTTCTAGTCCAACACATCTGAAGAATGTATTTATTGCAATCCACCCTTATGTAATTCACACAATTCACCACATAAAAAAAAAAAAAAAAAAAAAAAAAAAAACCCCAAAAAAAAAAAAAAAAAAAAAAAAAAAAAAAAACAGCCTAAGAGACCAGAAGCACAAAATGACCCTATCAACAAGTAATTTGAGAAAATTTCTCTTGACCTAAGCACACTGTTAAGTTCACACTTATTTTCTCAAAGAGATTAAAACTGGTAAACGAAAGGTACATGTGTGGTTTCAGATATAATATAGTACATTTTGTGTGACTCTAATAGATTTAAATGGTACAATTAAATAAAAAAACAATAGCTTTCTTTAGTTATGTAATGGGGAACAGGGGCTTAGAATCCGCTCTTATTCAGCTCCATGGAAAGCGGGTTGGGCAGTTAAGAGATGAACTTGAAGAAATCTTAGATACTCTGTTTTTCTTTGGGCCTTACAGAAAGAACATTGACAAAAGCTTTTTAGAAGATTTGCATCTCAAAAGAAAACAGAAAGAATTTGCAACTGGTTTTCTAAAGTAAATTGTCCAATAAAAAGGAAAAGAGGAATCCAGTGTAAGGAGGAAACTGAGAGTTCTGTTAAGCTGTGGGAAACATTTTTAGGTAGTGAGCAAACTGGAAAACCTAAGGAAGCATTTTGATAGAAAATATTCATTCTGTGTGTATCTACATGCATTTTGGGAGAAATGTTCTCTTACATTACAGGACATATTTCTTATACATGAACTACAGAATGACCAGAAACTCAAAAAAAAAAAAAAAAGTCTTCAGGACTGTATTAGTACAATTGCATTGTGAGAATGCCTGTATGAGCAGCAGAATAGTTTGAAAAGTGAAAATGATGTCTTTTTGTAACTGCCTTAATATCATCGGACTGGTCTCATTGTTTCTCAGAATAAAATAATTGAAGCAATTTATCCTCAAGACAAGGGCTACATAACTCTCTTCTTGCTGCTGTGAGTATAGTCAAAAGTGTATGATGCTGTTTGAGCAGTACATACCATGTGTGGAAGAAGTGTTGCATCTTGGTTTAGCTGTTGGACCTCTGTCTGATAAAAAGCAGAGACAAAGGGCTAATGTTCTACTAGGCTGCAAGCTTCTTGTGATAGTAGATGCCAAATTTCATGTTGTGAACATGTTTGGTCCTATTAAATGCTTAGAAGTCTACACAGGAACAAAGGAATGCTTCCTTCTATGTTGACAAAGGTTCTATACAGAAAAGAGAAACTAATCATTAAACACTTAGTTTCTGAGAAACATTTAATAACTTGTGAAAAGGGTAATTTCTAAACTAGGAGCATTTGAACGTTTCATTTCCTCATAATCATTGTGTTACTAGCTAATTGGTTACCAAAACAGGACACTTTGTCCATCTCTGATATTAAACTGGAGAGGCCCTTCAATCATTGGTTGGCAGTGTTGCTACTCTGTTTCTGGTTTCACTGAAGGAAAAAATAAAAGAAATGAAGTTCATGTGGGAGCAAATAAACTGTATGTGGCCTGCTTTCAAAGCAAGTAAACATGCATAATTAGCTAGAGAGCCTGTGTCATTCCTTCACAAGTTTGTCCGATGCTAATTTTTCAGATCCTCCCACCTCAGCTTGTGAGTGCTTACCCTTGCTCTCTTGAGTATCGGGGTTCTGGAAAGTGCATCACTTTGGGTCACAAAATCTTTCTTCAGCTCAAGGTTTGCAATACTACAAGGAAAAAGACTGATGACCAGAAATCACATTTTAAATACAATAATTATACATCGTTTATAAGAAATAAACATAACACAAACATGCAGATTAGAAAACACAAGCACCATCCTGTGGGGTTATTCTCTTTACCTTCCAGCCTTAGTAATTTTCTGTTTCATAGGATTCAGAACCCCAACCCACCCCACTCTTTCATGTGGTGCTAATTACCTTCATGCTGTAGGCAACATTCCCGTGCTATGTGTCTAGACCTGATCTATTAAGTTTTGTTTTGTTTTGTTCTGTTCTGTTTTGATTTCAGAAATTTTTCTTTTTTGTCTTTGGGTTTTGCACTTACTGTGTCAGAATTTCTCTTCTGACTGTCTAAGTTGTTTTCCTCTTGCTTTTCTGTGTTGTGTGCTATGTTGAGCCTCTTATGTGTAGATGATCCTTTTTGCTTTGGGGGAAAGAGTTTTACACTTGTAAAAAACTATAAACCTTATTCCATTACCTAGTCCTTATAAATTTTAAAATATGCCTCTTTATAATTAATTTAACAAGTTGGTGTTTATTATATTTTAACATTAATTTAAACTGATTTATATAAAAATATACACATTAAGCAAATTTCAACCTCATTACACTAAAGGCTTATTCTGGCATAACTTTATCTAGTTGACCTATATTGGTCAATGTGGTCACATCTGTGGTACGTGTATAGTTTCTTCTTTCCTGAATAGTGTTGTTCTTAAAGAATTTTATTTCTCAATAGTATAATGTGTACTTAAATTTACAAGAAATTTATGTGCTCTTTTGAAAGCATGTATCAAAGACATGAATCTGTAACATTGCAGTCTATGCCAAGGATGATTTCACCATTAATGTTTCCACATTTGTATACAGTTTAAGGGATATTTCCTTCAGTCAGTTTGGACAGGTTATTATGATACAATTTTGTTTGTGTGTGTTAAAAAATCACATCAGTAAGACATTAAAATTAAAAATATGAGTGTCATTCAGTTTGTCGAAACATGGTAACTGGGTGTTACCGAGCTAGCACTTACTGGGTTAGGGTTAGGGTTAGGGTTAGGGTTAGGGTTAGGGTTGGGGTTAGGGTTGGGGTTAGGGTTAGGGTTAGGGTTAGGGTTGGGGTTACTAACAGTGAGTGCTCATTTCCACATGCTGTAATAAACAGGAGTTTATTGTACCTCCAGTGTGAAGTGCTTCACATGTCGTTGAAGCAAGTACATACACAGCAAATTGTATTATACAGAAGATAAAGGAAGCACAGAGCACATGAACTGCAACCCAGCTGCGTGAGAGTTTCCGAACAGAGGGCATGGCTGGATGGATAAAGCGAAAGAGGAAAAGTGGATACTTCCCATCAGTAATGCTGAGCAAAGGGAAGTGGGGAAAGAGAGTATATGTCTCTGATTCATTGGAAACACAAAATAGTGAGTTACAGAAATATTATCCATTGGTGTCTAAAGAAAACTAGGTCATTTCCAAATTTTTCAATATATACAATAAATTTCTCGTGTTACTATTTGACAAATATTACTTAATTTTCATAGATTTATATAAAATTCTAGGAGAAGACTAAGTAACGATAATAGTATAGATTCTCTCCTAATCATTGCTCTAAAGATTTAAAAAAAACACTTTATGGTAATGAATTCACAAATACAGACTTTGCACAGAAATGAAGCATCTACTCAAATATCTAAAGAGTCTTAAATTCAACACATCTCAATGAAGTTGTGTGAGTTACACTTTGAAGAATACATTTTATGTATGTATCATAAGACAAAAGACATTATAGAAATAAAATGAAGTATAATTAGCTTCATATCCTCTCTGAAAATTCTCGTCACCTTATTTGTATTCTGTCATTCCTCAACACCTAATGCTATCCTTTCTTTTCTCCCGTCTAGATGTCACACTACACTCACATGTACGTGTGTTTACATGCATGCATGTATACATAGAGAGGATCTGCATATGAGAGACAACATTCACAACTTTTCTTTCTTTCTGAGAATAGATGACCTAATAAAAATTTAACATTTCATTCAAAATCTGTTACTCTGTCAACAGATTTAATTCTCGTATTCTAGTTGATTCCAAATACAGACCATCAGGGTTTGACTAAAAGGAAACAAAGGTTTGTTAGCAATGAAGCCAAAACTATGGTCTTTGAAGCATGGTCTTTGAAGCCCACCAGGTCTCCCTCAGGGGCCTCACAGGTTACATTTTCAATGACAGTTCACTTTACTCACCTATTTAATTCTTCCCCTTTGGTTCCCACACACTTTTCTCTACTCCATTCCCTTGCGATAGCATTATCTCATTCTATGTTTATTATTTGTTTCTAGCACCCTGCTAGATTATATGCTCTATCATGACAGAGGTCTGGGTTTCATACTTCTGTGTGCTCCAACTGAGTTATTTGGAATATTAAATAATGAATATTAAATAAATATTACTTCACAAATGCATAAATTAAGAGGTCTGGCAATTTCAAGCATTATCTCCTCATGAGAGTTGCCTGTGATTTTTTTTGGGGGGGCCTTAATTGTATTTTAAAAGATCAAGAAAGAGTACCATGTTATTTTGAAGCATTTTGTTTTTGAGGTGGGGCTCTTACTAAGTTGGACAGGAAGCTCAAAAACCTGCAGTAACAGCACTCCTAAAACCTCAGGATTCTCAAGGATTCAGGCCTCAGATATCTATTACTATGGCTGATTTGAAAAACTAAAGTGGGCATCCATGAACATATAAATAGAATCATATTTTACCTAATTTTGAATGATTTACTTTAGTAATAAGTTAACTTTAGTTTAACTTTTTACTTCATTAGCCTATAAATTTTTTCTGTAGCAATATAAAAGCAAACATTCTACATCTATGTGAAATATTTGTATTATATCCATGTTCCATGGGCTTTATTATTCTGTTTTCAAAACAGTGTTTACTGATACTTTTCCATTTAAAACTAAAAGATTGGCCTGGAATCATACATAATCATATAGTATGGCAATTGCATAGTGTGCACAAATGACAGGATTTGCTCCTCAGACAAAAGCACAAATAGACAATAAATAAATAAATAAATAAATAAATAAATAAATAAATAGTTACATTTAAAATAATGAGAAGGGAGTATAGTATAGTAAACATAAGCTAGTCAGAAAACATGTTACTATCATTACCAAGTATTATATGCAATTGTTTCTGCTGTTTTATTTTTATGATTGACAATGAAGTTGGTTTGTTTAAGTAAACCTCACCAATATAGTGTCAAATGTGTGTATTGAGATGCACTATGTTGTTATAGCATATTAAGTAATAGGAATAATTTAATTTCTTTATAATACTCAAATTATAATGATTCCAAACATAAAACAAAAAAAGAAAAGAATTTAGAATTAAATGTATAAAGGACAGAGTAGAGAAAAATGTGTAAAATCATATAAAAGCTCACTCATTTTTTAATCTATTTGGCTTGCTGAAAATTAATTTAAACAATAGACAAAGACAGGGTATATACTTTCTTCTTTTTTTCTTTTTTCTTTATCAGAAAGAAAATTATTTTACATGTCAATCCCAGTTCCCTCTCCCTCCTCTCTTCTCCTGCCCCCCCCCCCAACTAAAACCCTACCTATCCTATACCCTTTCTGTTCCCCAGGGAGGGTGAGGCCTTCCATAGGGGGGTCTTCAAAGTCTGTCATATTCTTTGGGATAGCGCCTAGGTCAACTCCCTTGTGTCTAGGCTCAGGGAATATGCCTCCATGTGGGATGGGCTCCTAAAGTCCAATTCTATGCTAGTGATAATTACTGATCCATTACAAGAGACCCCATAGATTTCCAAGATCTCCTCACTGACACCCACATTCAGGGGGTCTGGATCAGTCCCATGCTGGTTTCTCAGCTATCAGTCTGGGGACCAAGAGCTATCCCTTGTTCAGGTCAGCTGTTTCTGTGGGTTTCACCAGCCTGGTATGGACCCCTTTGCTCACCAGTCCTCCTTCTCTGCAACTGGATTTCTGTTCAGTTCAAGGTTTAGCTGTGGGTGTCTGCTATTTTCTTCTTTAAAGGAACAATATCATTATTAACCACTCTCTTTCTATGTCCATGGCAATGGGATATAGTAGTCCCTAAAAAGGACAAGAATAAGAGATGAGCTAAGGTGGTGAAGGAAGGCTGACAGTGACAATAATTGTGGATGTCTACATAGTCTGTGTGATTTTTTTAGTGTCATAGAAAGACAGCACAGGACTTATTTTGCATCTACCCCTTTTCAGATTCTGACAGTCAAAGTTGAATTATAAAAAAGTGTTTCATTCAATATACAGATAATATGGTATCCCTTATATTTGTGTACTGGTGTTTCATTTTATCATTAGATTAATGCACATAGAGCAGATGAGTAATAGTATTTCTTAGTTCTTTGACAAATCAATCAAACCCAGTCAATGCATAAGATTATCTAAAAGTTACATTGTTCTTATCTTCTAGCTTATTCAAATAAATTTATTGCTGGGGAATATTTCTTCAAATACCAAAGGATGTGATGATAAAAGAGAACGGAAACAAGAGACAATTGTAATACTTTAATAGTGACAGTGGAGTTTTTCTGCTAAATAGGGTCTTAGGTTTTTTTCCCCATTGACATGTGCCAAACATAACAGTGACAAAGGGATGGAGTACAAAGACATTCTCTGCTAGTCCCTGAATCGTTTCTTATAATTCTTTTAATGTTAAAATTAGCAGTGCAGGGAAAAATGAATCAGGAAAGAAAATATGAATTGAATAGTGTAGAATACCTACAGCAAAGTACTCTGATATTCCATGTACAAACTCAACTGGGTGCGTGAAGCCATACAAAAATCAGTGTGATCTCTGTGATCTTGTCAAAATAGAAATATTATAACAGAAAGATTTACCTATTCTTTATATATCTCTCTTTCTCTCTCCCACTTCCTCCCCCTACGCTCTCTCTATCTCTCTCTGTGTGTATTTATATATGTAATATGTTCTCTATGTTTTGTATTTGTTTCTTTCATACCAAAGAGTCTTGACTCTACCATTTTTATAATGTCTTTGTCTTAACGTTTACTCCATGAATTCCTTTTGTCTAGTGTAGAAGAAATTAAAACAGCTCTCTTGGAAATTTTGGGAGCTTTCCTCCTTTTTCACTAATGCATCATTTAGTGGTTCAATTTTTCTGTGAGGAGATAGTCAGATTTCACACTCTTAGACTTAAGGGGATGAGAGAGTGTGGTAACACTGATAGGATCAACTGTAGGAGGTAAATGACCTGCTTTGTCATTGGTAAGATGGGGAATGTGGAAAACTTCTAATTGGTGTCTGCAGAAGGTTTCACTCAATTAAACCATTTTCAGAACTAGGATATGATTAGTTTTATCAGTCATTGATGAGGCAATGCCATTTTTCTGGAAATATTTTAACCAGGAGATCCAGAATACACATACTAATTATTTCTAATTCATATATAGAAGACACAAGCAAATTATCAAACTATTCCCCTATTCTTTCTTATTTTAGAATTTAATGTGATGAAATATACTAGCCTGAAGTGATGAAATGAAGTGATGAAATATAACTATACTGAAGTAAATATATGTTTACTTCAGTATAGTTAGTTGGGTTAGTATGTTAGTTTTAGATAGGGCCTTATGTATCTATGGTTTAATGAACCGATGGTTTAAGGGGGAAAAAACTAACTCCAATTTTGTAATAAATGTAAGTAAATCTTCAAATGGTCTAAAGTTTCAGTATATCACAGGGAATGTCAATAATTGTTGGAGAAAAATTCCCAGCCCCATCTAGGCTTGTATTTAAAATTTACCCTATTGCTTTATCTTTAGTTGGAAACACAAAGTGTTCTTCTAGTTTGACCTCCCATAACATCACAGATGTTAGTCATCTGTGACTTCAAAAGCACTGAAGATATTTTCCCACCATCAAGCAAGTAATCTTGCTTCAGAGAACAAGAGCTGGGTTTTCTCTAATCAGGTTCAGTTCTCATGTTGCCAAGAGATACTTCCAGAGGCTACGACCTGTGGTCTCAGTTCCCAAGAACCATCTCTGTACTGCCTCCATAGCCAATAGTAAGCCCCAGGTTGTTTGATCTATGCATTTGATAACACACTATGTAACTTTGTATTGAAATTATAAGACCAAATTTGGTAGAGCATAACACAGAATTCAGGAAAACACTTGTTTGACCCATTTATCATGGAAGTTATTATTAAAACATAAACCAAAAGTCGACAAATTGAAAAGTGTGGAATTATCAAAGAACAACTATGCTCCCTAAAAATTACTGACCTGTAGGAATTTCCATGTTCTGTACTGCCTGTAAGCTATCCAAATTAACCCTTTTTGTGTCTTACAGAAATTCTTCCCCAATTTGTTTGTTTCATTTCAGACTTATAATTATTATTTAGATGTTTGTTTTCTGAAGAAACAGAAATACTGTGCATGCAGGTGGGGGCAATGAGATGTAGAGGATCTTGGAGGAGCGGGGAGAGGGGAAACGGTAATACAAATGTAGTCTGTGAAAAAAACTTAAAGGAAAGAAGGTAGCTATAACCATCAAACAAAAGGAACGTGCCATATGGTAAATTTTACAGTTGTCTCTCAAATAACTTTAGTTCTCTTCATTTCCTAGTCCCTATTCAATTAAATTGATGCTGGATTTAGAGTTGGATTTGGCTTTCTGCCCCTAAAATCCAAGCATGTTATTTAACAAAATTTTAAAGTTTCTGTGTTATGTCAAGAAGTCAACTAATGTAATACAGAATAAATGAAGAATTGGAGGACTATCTTTTGACTTTTATTGGCTCTTTCTTTCAAGGCCTACACCCTCGCATAATTGTCATTTTTCAATGGTTGCCTTTCCCAGTACACATACATGTACAAACAAACATTTCTCTGATGGCACTTGTGTTTGAGTCCCATACAGCCAATAAAGACCCACCTGATGACAATCCTACATGCTCCGGAAAAAGAATTGGACCATACCTCTCTAACTGCAATGGATTCAACTCACTCTGTTTCGACTGACACTCCGACCAGCACCTTGAGTACTGACTTCAATCAAGTTGAGGATTTCAACCTAGATCTTCACACCCGTGAGGGCATGGTCAGGGGAAGTCTAAGGTGACTCCTCGGGAAGGGTTCTTAAGGGACCGTGCACATGTGGAGACCCTCTTCTCCCTTCTCCCTTGTCTTTGGCTTGGCTGTCTTGCTGCCCCTGGCCCGCTTTGGCTAGTGCTTGGCTGGTGTTATCTGAATAAAGAAACCCTTAGCCATACGGACTGCGCATTGATCTCTCTTCAAAAGACAAATAGAAAAAAACAGAAATCTCATTGTGTAGACATGATTGAAACATACATAGAATGTTTGAACAAAATTGGGGATAATCTCATGTTAGTAAAGAAGCAGTCCATTCCCCAAGCTTTGACTATCCCAGATTGTTCATGACATCTCTATTGTATCATTTAGAGGCACGGATGATAACCTCGGAGTCACAGAAATCCATCTGTGTTTCATGGAGAAGGAAATCACAACAGTCTTCTAAAATTAGTTTGACCACAAATAAGTTCAAACTTGAATTCTCCAGGTCTCTACCTTCTATCTGTATCTTGTTGGTATGGGCCATCTCTGTCAGTGCCTAGAGGAGGGTCCCTAACAAAGGGGTTTGATCCGTATTTATTGAACAGCACAAACTAGCATTAAAATAGGAAGTGAATGAGAAACACTTTACAGAAATTTTTAACAGAGTTCTAGCAAGTAACCATACTGACAAGCTCAAAAACTAAAAACATGATAGCAAATTCCACCTGTTTGTTGTTTCCAACAAATATGGCAGATATTTACTGTATATGGTTTTATTTCAACCCTTTGGTAATTTTTAATAAATGATTATATGTAGTACATATGCACTCATGTATATGGGGCCAGGGTTATGGGCAAGTACATATATTAAGATTAAAGCTTTCTATTAGCTTTGGTTGTAAAAGCTGTATACATGGAAAATTCAATACAAATAAGGTTATTTCTTAGACTAGTTTCTGA